CAGTCGTTTAACCAACTGAGCCACCCAGGCGCCCAAAACTTGTGGTTTTGACAAAGCAGATCCCTCAAGCGTTCATGCTTTAGTGCAATCTTCCATTAAGAAGATTTCCATTAAGCAGATATTAACTTACTCATAACCTAAATGCTTCTCCCCAAAAGTCCCCTCCCAAACCCAAATATAAGATTAAAGCTTACTCAAAAGAAAACAAACTAAGCACAGCATTAACAGTATGATCTTAAGGGAAAAGAAATCCTACCTTCTGAAGTTCTCCTACAATGACAGTGAATTGATGTTCACAAAGAAGCTTCCATAAAGCCAGAGCCTGGTATGATTTTCGAACCAACTGCTGGATTGCCTGAAGTGAAACCTTTTCACTCAGTTGAGCCTCTAATTACAAAACACAACTAATGAAGTTTTATACAATGACATAGGTTGTTTTGTTTTAAATAAAACAACACTTTACTTTCAATAAGAACAACTATAGTTAAGGCTGAAATCCTTAATGGTCTCCTCTTTCCCCTCATCACAGCCAACCATGATCATGATTTGTTGAATTCATGCTTTTTATCCTGTCATTATGTGTATGTGCTTCTATGCGTCTGTGTGTGTACAAACAACAAAAACACTGCTATTTTTAAACAATTTACACCACTTTTTCTACCCAGCTGTATTTTCACAGGCTATCTATATTAATAAGTATAAATCTAATGTATTTAAATTACTGGATGTTCCATCACATAAGTATACCACAATTAGGTCCATTTTCCACCTTAAGGACATTTATATTGTCTCCTATGCTTTGCTACTAAAACAACAGTGCAATAAACATCCTTAAGAAAGGACTCCTGAAAAGCACTTTTTGCTAGGACTATGTTCCTCAAACCCTGGATTAAGATAAACTGGTGAAAAAAAACCAAAACAAAACAGGTGAGTCATGAAATCAATTCAGTCAGTCATGACAGCTTTTTTTTTTTTTTCTTAAAAAGGAAACAGAATTGGGGTGCCTGGCTGGCTCAGTCAGTAAACCATGCAACTCTTGATCACAGGGTTTTAAGTTCAAGCCCCACACTGGGCGTGGAGTATACTTAAAAAAAAAAAAAAAAAAAAGGAAATATTAGAGTATAAAACAGGTAGTTATTTCCTACAATTTTGTTTCGGTTGTGTATGTATGCTTTCAAACATCAGAGTCATAACGTAAAATGTATTCCTTACTATAAGGAAAAAAGTCCAATAAAGAGTGCTATACGATGGGAGGTGCCTGGGTGGCTCAGTTGTTGAGCGTCTGCCTTCAGCTCAGGTCATGATCTCAGGGCCCTGGGATCGAGTCCCACATCGGGCTCCCTGCTCAGTGGGGAGTCTGCTTCTCCCTCTCCCACTCCCCCACTGCTTGTGTTCCCTTTCTCGCTATGTCTGTCAAATAAATAAAATCTTTACCAAAAAAAAAAAAAAAAGACTGCTATACGATGTATCCATAGAAGTGAAGCTGCTGGCTTTCAATATATATGCATTCTCAGCTTTTACAGGATAGTATCAAACTCTCTCCAAAGTAGTTGTTTTCAGTGTACATGTGCCAGCAATTTGAACCCTCCCTCTTGTTTTAATCCTTACCAGTGCTTGGTATTGTCAGGCTTAAGACCTACTGAAGTACCAATAGCAGTAATGAAAAAATGTTTATAAAATAGAAATGTTTATAAAACAGAAAACTAGTCCCGCATCGGGCTCCCTGCTTCGCGGGGAGCCTGCTTCTCCCTCTGCCTCTGCCTCTCTCTATCTCTCATGAATAAATAAATAAAATCTTTAAAAATAAAAACAAAAACAAACAAACAAAAAAAACAGAAAACTAGATCTAGCAGGAAGGGACAAGAGTAAATGGCTGGGTCTTAATTAGCAAAGATCTATCAGCCAGAAATGGCTCAAACAGAACACAAAAATTCTTTTTTTTTAAACAATTGTTTTTTAAAGGATTTTATTTATTTATTTGAGACTGAGAGATACAGAGAGAGAGAGCATGAGCAGGGGGAGAGGCAGAGGGAGAGGGAGAAGCAGAGTCCCCACTGAGCCAGGAGCCCGATGTGGGGCTCCATCCCAGGATGCTGGGATCATGACCTGAGCCGAAGGCCGATTCTTTTTTTGGGGGGGGTGGTTCTTAACCATCTGAGCCACCCAGGCGCCCTTAGAACACAAAAATTCTTTAAAAAAACGGCAGGCAAAATTTAAGCAATGATTATTCCAGATTACTTTGGAATAATAGATGATTATAAGTTTTCCATTACCTTGCTCTTTCCACGACTGTTACTATTTATAATAGACAAACAAAAACAAAAACAACCAAAAATGTGATTCACATTTTTAACTCTATAAAAAGGTGTGTCACTAATCATTAGGAAGGAAAATACATCAAAAACCACAGTGATATGGTGATTAACATAACAATAAAAAATTAAAAAAAAAACACAGTGAGATACCGCTTTGTATCTACTAGGATGGATATTATAAAAAGAGAAAAATAACGAGTGAAGATGTGAAGAAATTGAAATACTTTATGCACTACTAGCAGATATGTAAAATGGTGCATAGAGAACGGTATGGCAGTCCCTCAAAAATTAAAAACAGAATACCATATGATCCAGCAATTCCATTTCTGGGTATATAACAAAGGAACTGAAAGCAAGGACTCAAATTTATATTTGTACAATACATTCATAGCAGAATTATTTCTAATACCTCAAAGGTGGAAGCAACCCAAGTGTTCAAAAACCCAAGTGTTTTTTTTTTTGCTTTCACGAAAATACACCCTAAAACCAGCATTCAGCGTTTTGTTGTAGTGAGCCATTACACAGGCAGCATGCACCCTGCCAAACTCCTTTCCCAGAAACGATACACATCATCTCGGCATCAAGCCGCCACAACTTTGAAATGGGTTTATGGGCTTCTGTGCTTTATCTCTAAATGTGTCCTAAGGTGGGGCGCCTGGCTGGCTCAGTTGGAAGAGCATGTGACTCTTGATCTCAGGGTCGTGAGTTCAAGCCCCACAATGGGCATAGTGATTACTAACAAAAAAGTAAATAAACTTAAAAAAAAAAAAGTGTCCTAAGGAACAGAAAAGCCTAAGAAAGGTTATTTTTTGGGGTCTGGGAATGCTCAAAAATTTATCCATATAAATTAACGGTAATTACTTTCTCACTTTATGCCATTTGGCTTATGAAAGGTTTCACAGGAACACTCAGATAGCAGGGGAAACCTGTGTAGACATACAATGGAATAATATTGTCTTAAAAAGAAAGGAAATTTGGACATATGCTACAACACGGATCAACTCTGAAGACATACTAGCTGAAATAAGCCAGTTGCAAAGCTGGTCACTGTATAATTCCACTTATATGAAGTATATAAGGTAGTCAAATTCAGAGAGAAAAAAAACAAACAGAAAACTACTGACAGTTGTTAGGGGCTGGGATGGTATGGAAAATGGGGAGCTTTGTTTCATGGGTACAGAGTTTCGTAAGATGAAAAAAGTTCTGGAGATGGATAGTGGTGATGTTTGCACAACAAAGTGAATGTGGTTAAAATGGTAAATTTTATATTATGCCTATTTTACAATTTAAAAACTTACTTTAAAAAAAGGTATCATGTTTTCTTGTAAAGGAAAGGAAAAAACTTAATGGGCTGAAAGTTATGGGGCACCTGGGTGGCTCAGTTGTTAAGCGTCTGCCTTCGGCTCAGGTCATGATCCCAGGGTCCTGGGATCGAGCCCCGCATCGGGCTCCCTGCTCC